CAGATCATAGCATTCAAGGAAATGAAAGTGACCGACCTCCAAAACTAGTCCCTTCTTCCTGCCCAGGGGTTGTTATTCTTGGAGTAAGAATAGGTGTCTTTGAAAATGTAGGGGTTGGCTTGGCTAATTCTGTGTGCTAGTAGCCAGGGAATTAGGGCTCCCCTGGATCCACAGAAACAAATCCTTGCCTTATCAGGCACCTTGACAAAGTTTGGAATGTTAGCCTATAACTTTATGTCCAAATCCTTTTCATACAGAGGTTTGAAAGAGAGGAGTTTGGGGCTTGGTGTGCATCCCTCAAAATAAGCCTCCTAGAATAAGAAAATTGATTTCTCGCATAGTGTACACTTCTGTGCTTACTGAGCATTGCTGACATCTCTCATGGAAAAAAAGAAGCAGCCTAAATGGAGAGGAAAATAGTCACCCAGGGAGAAATAGCCTCCTGTACAGTGCCAGTCGGTCTCCTTGACAGGAGAAAGGAAACTCTCTAAATCTTCATATATCCCTTGTTCTAAGAACAGGTAAAAGTGACGTTGTTCTGGGTTACACTTCTGATGAGTAAGCAAGCTACTCAATTTTCCCAAGAATATTATCTCTCCTGCTTGCAAAAAACATACATAACATTGAATATAAAGAAGGGAGAACAACCATCATAGTCTCAAAAGAAAGAAAATGTGATAGAAAATACTGGAAATCTTTATCCAACACCATAATGGGCTGTCAGGGACTGGAACCAGTCCAAGGACCTTTGTGTAACACCAAAATGTAGCTTCAGTCAGACACCTTCAGTTGCCCCAGGACATCCTTCTAAGTCCCACACAACAGCTAGAGCTTCATGAAAGGAAACTGGATTGGAACAGAATGAACATTGCCAAAACCCATGGATGAAGAAGTTTTGACAAAGTCCTCATCAGTAAGCTTGTCCTCTGAGTCTTGTAGGAGCAACAGCCATGCTGTTCACTCTTAACTAGCTGACAGAGGTCCAGTGCTTTGTTTGGTTTCATATAATAAAGAGAACCAAGAGCTCTTGGAAATGGAAGCAAAGAAGTCTGCTCTTATTCACCCTGCCCATGATCCCGAGCAATCCCGCAAAATCTTGCTGTCTCCTTATTCCTTAGTTTAGTGAGGTCCGAGTTCTTGTCCCACAACTAGGAAGAATAAGGAACATGGACACCGGAGAGTGCATAAGGCAGAGTAGCATTTATTAAGCAATAGAAATGCTCTCAGCAGCAACAGGGGACCAGAATAGGGTTGTAAGAAATGGGGCTGAGTCCTCAGTCTTTCATGTGGCAAAGGCAAGGAAGTCTTTTGTGGGGTCCACCCTAAGGGGAGGGGTAAAATTCCCCCCAGGAGTGTTGCATCTGTGCATGCCTGCATGCCTAGGGTTGGCTATAGCTACTCCATCTTGGTTATTACTCATGAGTGTCTAAGAGAAACCCATGGAGTGGGGAGGATTAAAGCACAATGCTAATAGCATTATAATGTGGTCAGGATCATTTTAGGACACCCCCGGTCCTTGTCTGTGCCTCTGTGGGTGGATGGAAAGTCCCTTCTGAGCAAACATCTTGGTATAACAGGAACTTCTTGACCATATTTTCTCCTGCTAACTGCATAACAGGGGCATTGCAGGCACACAGTCCACAGGTGTTGGCCCTCTCCTGAGACCCTCCCTCTCTGCCTGCCAAACTATCCCCTACCTGGCTTCCCTCTCACTATTATATTGTGCAAAGAAATATTCCATTTATTTAGCTTAGACAATTTGTACCATTTTATGTATAAATGCTGCAGTGTCTAATATAAATGTATGGGGTGGTTTCAAATTGTGACATGCATATAATATAAATGTTTATGTCATGTCACAATTGAAATACATATTACATATTTTTCCTAACTTTTATATTGTTTTGTTTTGCTTGCAGAGTTGTGCCTTTTACTGGGGATTTACTTCTTGGATTGCCTACTACATTAATCATCCACTGTATACACCACCATGTATGTAGGGTTTCTTCTTAACTAACCCTGTACTAAAGGACCAACCTAAAAACTCTATTCTAAATGACATACATAACATGAAGAGCAGAGCATAAAGGAATAAGTAAAAAAAGAAACAATTTGTTTTAAAATTGCTTTCATATTTCTTTAAATGTTTATGTAGGCCTAAAAGACCAATTTGACCCATATATTTTTATTTATTTTGTTTCTACATGAACCACCAAAAACATTAGTAGGTTGTAAACCTCTAAAAAAACAGCTAATAAAATAAAAAAGCAACAATTAAAAAGAAAATTATTATATAATTATACAATCGTATGCTAATCAGCTATCAGGTATTTTAAAAGTAAATGATAAACATTTAATTATTCTTTTAAATATAATTCAACCAAAAATAGGGGACAATTTTTCTGTTACATAATAGTTTCTGTTTATGATTTAATTTACTAAAGTATCTTGACTCTTGACTCAGATGAACAATTTGGTTGAATGTACACTGGATGAAACCTAATTCTTTGGTTCTTAATCTTCAAGAAAAAAGGTTGCCCTCATCAAGGAGTTTCATTTCTTCCTTCAATGTGGACTTTTCTCTCCTCAGTTTTTACTGTAGCACATAAGGCACAAAATGTAAAACTCAATAATTAAATGGTTTCTTATTTATTTGACAATTATTTTTGCAGGCTATTTCTGGTGTTTACAAAGTTTAGAATAAATGGAAATAAATGGTATAATCAAACTTTATTTTTAATTTTAGAAAATCACTTAAACTTCCTTAATTTCTTGGCTGAAGTTGTAATATAGAGTTACAATGTTCAGGGCCTTCACTAAAATCAACAAATCTAGTTCAGTCTGGAAAGTGAAGTCATTGATTTCAGTGATTAAAACTTCAGCTGGTCTTAATAGTAACAATTAACTCTGAATATTGAAAGTGAAAATTTCCTGTATCTTCTAATTTTTCAAATATTTTATAAGATGTACTTATTATCTTTATAACCTTAACACATAGATGTATTGCTCCAGACTATGTTAATAAGATATGCCTCTGCAAAATTATTCATTTCCATATTGGGTACAAAATAATAATAGTAATTAATTTCGTTAATATATGTAAAACATTTATTGAAAACTGAATGTTTGTTAATAACTGTAAATATGCTATATATTTTTAATTTAAAACATTATTTTGTGACTTTAATATTCCCTATTGAAGGCTAGAAAAATGATGCCATGAAAAGATAATTTCACTATGCTCAAGATCTTTAAATGCATAAGATATAAGTAGGACTCAAATTCTGTGAAAATGCATTATAGCATTTTAATACTGATGACAAGTGGAAAATGAATATTTTGCCTAGGAAGTCCACACTTAACATGGTTGTAATATACATGAGCTATAGCCATTATGCTTTAGTTAAATCATGTTAAATAATAATATGACTTCTAAAACAGTATATGATAGAATAAGTTGCTTCTTCCTTTAACAGAGAAACTATAAATTAACTTTTGTTAAGGCTTCCTATTAGGTACAATGCTAAGCAGTTGGCACATTTTGTCTCATTGAATCCACATGAAAATTATACTGTTTGTATCCCAACTTTACAGATGAATAGCTAAACTTCAGAAAATATAGGCAGATTTTCCAAATTTACTCAGCAAATAAGTGGAAAAGAATCTAAAACGTAGCTACAGATAGCAGTAAACTGTGCAAGAGGTTAGCCAATCCACAGTCAGTCAGACACATAAATTCTGCATAGACATTATCATGGAGATCCCCTTCACAAAAATAAGCATGTCACCTTTATCTTGAGTTTTGACCCAGATAGTAGAGCCTCCTATTTCTTAAAGTGTTAGTTATATGGGCTTAGGATACCTAATACACATTTTTGACAAATAACAGGACCCAGAGACTCCCTCTAATTTGTTCCATGCTTATGCCATTCATTGTTTTTTTGGTAAAATTTCACCCTTTTCTATATTTATGGGGCAAAAGACCTTCCCTTTCATTTCTTATTAGTTTCTAAGACTTTGATAGAATATTTTCCCTTTTCAACACTTTGATTATAATTAATAGATTTATTTTAATTTTACAAATTGATTATATATTACATCATAAAAATTCAATTCTGTACTCACAAAGTAGAAATAGCACTAACTACATTATCTTTAGATGAGATAAAATAAACCTTAAAAATATAATATAAGCACACAAAAAATTTTAAAACAAAATGAGGTGATATTTAAAAGCACTTCCTACATTATTTTAACAGTAAAAGATATAATAATAATTATAGAGCAGCTATGACAAGGTAACAAAAAAGAAAATAGTACATATTAAAGCTATTTTCAGCAAAGCACTTATAATCTTAATAAATAATCATATTTGAGGAAGATGAAATGAAACAACTCATATAAATCAGTAATTCCTTTAATTTTTGTTTTAATATATCTTACTTTGCTGCATTAAATCCATCTGCTTAAGGTTGCAAAACAGAAAATTGATCCAATTTTTATGTTGTTCCTCTTGAAAATTTTCATTAAATTATGCATGCTTACAACATAGTTTCCCTCATTTTACCCTCAAAATTAGAAAAAGAAAAGTTACTGGATTTTTGGATTTCACCTGTTTAATCTTTAATCACATGTTCTTTATTTTCACTTTATATAAGATATGTCCCTTCAGCATACATAATGAAGTCTTTAATTTAGGATATTGTTTCTTACATTATGGCCATGATTATTATTTTTTCTGATTTTCTGTTGTTTTTGTTGTCATAGTTGACACTACTGTTCTTTGTGCTCTATGCCAACCGGTCTTTTTCCAATTTCTTTCTTAATTCTCCTTGGTAACAGTGTTTGACTTTTATCACAATTATCACCACAATCTATTCTCATCAAATTTGGCCTCATAAAGTTAATAGCATCTGTACATTAATACATAAAAGCTAACTTAATTGAAAAACATGTTGTA